GCATGCTGGCGATACCATTGAGCTGACTGGGCGACTGAGCCCGTATGCCGCCGAGTCTGGATGGCGCTCCCGGCACCATAGGCATAAAGCTTTACGCAGGCATTCACTTGTAAAATTCGCTAACGCCTGCTGCATCCTCCGATGTGTTGCGGGAAAGCCTGCTGCCTGTCTCCGGAGCGCACGCTTTCCGGCGCTGCGGAGTTCGATATATTAATTTTTAAGCCGACAGAGTTTGGTACAAAAAATTTAAAATGCATGTAATTCTTATGACACTTCGACAACGATTCGATATAAGCAATAATTCTATATATCCGTGTTCGATATAATGAGGTTTGACTGTATCATCTCCCCTTATTAATTAAACCTGTTATGAGCGAATATACAAAAATGCACCCCCAATTTCGCCAGTGTCGATGGCCGATATCCGTAGCTGCTGCGCAACATCACAAAACGCAAAGGCTTGTCAGATGGTCGGGATAACAAGCGTTGGTCGATGGATGTCTTGTATTTTGTTTCGAATTATATAGTCTTCTAGACTGTACCCTACTGAAATATGTTCCAATGCAGTTCCCAAGCGTGTGCAAAAAAATCTCACGCTTTTTAGCAGGATATTACTTGAAAACAGTTGTAAGCATTGAGCAAACGTATGCCGTTTCGCACAAACACAACTCCGACGGCCACCCATCGAACTATAAGCGCTTGCAAAGCAAAGGATGCAGATTTTGCCTCTGAAGTGGCACCTAGGTACACAAAGCGGCATCTGGGTACACATCGGCAGATCCACTGGATCGGTGATGAGGCTGCGGGTCGTTCCCTCAGAGGCGATGTCCGCGGGTCGAAGGCAAACGGCGAATCATTCAAATGCATGTCGTCACTTGACTTGGACGAGCTTGGTGAATCGTAGCCACGCTCCATTTTCGCACACGAGTCAAATAGAATCTGGCTGCACGCGTGCTAAATACAACTTTTGGCATCGTTTCCAGATGGCCTAGCTGTTGGTTTCGGTTTCGCTGAATAATCAAATCGATTGATCCGATTTGGGCGAAGAGTGGGTGGACGTGTTTGAATAACGTTGGCACAGCCTTGCACCTCAGTTTACGAGCCTTCTGTCCGCTTAGAGCTCGGCTCATCACTCGTTTTCTTTTAGATGATTGCTGCATAAGCGGGATCTCGATCTTGACGGGAACCCGGTCCCTACGCACGGCGACGATCCATTTTGCTCGTCATTGCAAGTCTTGCGGAAAAGTGTGGAATGTCACATCTCGGCTCGCATGTGCTGTCCGGTGGTTGTGGCACCCAACCGCGCTACAAAAATCTCACCCACCCACAAAACAAGTCGAGTGCAACAACAAAAACGAAGCATACTGTGGCGTTCACTTGCAGGCCAACGACGAGACAGAAATCGTGATATTAAGATCCTGAGACTGGGATTGAAATTTCAAAGAAAAAGTGCAAGAAGACAGAAAAAGGGGACAGGACAAACGTCTCAAACTCAGCTCCGTTTGTCCTGTCCCCTTTTTCTGTATTCTTGCACTTTTTCTTTCAAATTTCATTCCCAGTCTCAGGATTTTAACATCGTGATCAACATACATCAGCTTACCTGCACCATTACAATTTTTTCGAGACAGAAATGATTGCGTTGCGTTGTGCGACGTCAGAGGTCCAATGTTGCCAACGAAAGCAGTGTTTATGCTAGGATGTGACTGGAGCAGTAGAAATTCGATTACTCATGCAGATGGGAATATAAAATTCAGATATTGCACTTACAACGCGTCTCGAGACAAGAACAATGATATCCAATTGTTTTCTCAAATACAAAATTTGACCAAACAATCCCTTTAAGGGTCATCCCAGCAATCACCCCCTTCCCCCAGTCCCCAGCCCAGTGATATGGACAGAAATGCATTGGCTGAAAAGGGGCAGAATCACATTTTTGTATGTTTTTATGCTAGGTGGCACAAGCTAATGCCTGTTACAAGGGGTACAACCATTAACATCTATCCTTCCACCCATCCAGATTTTGACCAAACATGTAAACATTGTATTTTTATATAATTAAACAAAGGCGAAACTTCCTCGACCTAAAAGTACTTCCGGCTGGACTGCACTTTGTGTTTCAATTACCAAAAAAGAGCAGAGTGTCTCTGAAGCTTTTCTTTATGTAGAATCCGAAAGGGTGTGTCAAAACGATATACCATGGATCAATGAGTGTACCTAGACCATATGAGGCCAACAATAAGCAGAGCTGCCCATTGGGCCTCTGTGCTGAAAGTTATGTGTCCCCTTGCGACAGTACATTGGAAACCCAGCCGTTTACACGGGAGAGACTCAACAAAGTTGGTAACAAATCAACTGAGGCCATTGTAATAATTTTGTTCATGGGAAGTGAGTGCGTGCACCATCTCACGTCGCTTCAATAACTGCCTAAGTGTCGTGACAGTTCAAATTGGTCAAATGCTACCACCAGCAACTCGGCGGGCATTCGGCGGGTTGGCTGTTTGTCAAGCAACTTTGCGCCCTGATGTGATCTCTGTTTTTAAGAATGTAGATCCATTCTTGTACTGCCGAATTGTACTGATGCTTCTTTTGCCATGTCTTTTTGCCCAGTTTTTAGCTGTTCAAGCAGGCAATATGCACGTGTTCATAAGTGCTCTTCGACGTGGACTTACGAACTAGCAATATGCTAGTTCTCAAGTTGTCTTCGACGATCGTGCATGAAGATTATTGACTCCCTGCTCGCTCAAGTGCACTGTGCTGCCGAAGGTAGCATTCACTGGAGGCCAGAGTTCAGTCAGTTCCTGCTCAGCGCGAGCTTACGATTAGCTTTCACAACGCTTCCACAACATGCATTGCACTCCACCAACATCGTAGTTCTTCTCCGATCTTGGTGGAGAAGAACTACGATCGCTTCTCCGAAAAGAAGTGGGGGCTCGTTCTGACGCCTGCTTTCGTTATGGTCTCTTTTCTTTCTCTTTTCTCAAACTCTCTTTTTGGCCGGCAACTTTATGGACGTGTATTATTATTCGCAACAAATGTTTGATATCTGCAAAAGCAAAGCAGTAAAACAGCAGTAGCATCTTACCTGAGTGATTAAAACTGCTATTTTAAATTAGGCCTGTCGTACGTTTGGCGGTATTGCAATAGACCATTTGCTATATTACCAAAGCATCAAGGCCTTGCCCGTATGCCTTGGTAATAATATACACGCCTTGCCCGTATAAAAGATTCAAAGTAGATAATCAAAATAAAGCGTTCACGAACGCACGTGCAAGATACAATTTGTTTTAGGTTTTTGCTTTAGAAAATTTACTACTGCTAAGGCCAGCACGTACGGCGCGTGGAACACCGATCCCTGCATTCTCCTTGATGCTTGAATAATATATCAAAAGGTCTATACAAACTTCGGAAAACACGATGGCCACGCAGTTGATTGCAGGGGTTGCAATCATGCTCGAGCCGGTAGTTCAGTTTCGCCGTAGACATGTGTAAATGTCTACGGCGAAAGAATGTGAACAAAAGCATTTTGCTTTAAAAAATCAAATTATTATTATTGCATTATTAGATGTCTAAAAATAGTCAGCAACTCTTCATGCATGACACCTATGGCAGCATATGCTTCAAACTACAATGTAAATTTAATTATACTTTTCGTTGTCTGAACGTTTGAAAGCGGCAGACAAATTACTCTTTCAATCAATCTTTATATGCCAGCCTCTCTACTCACTGAAGAGTCAGGTGTGTGCAACCTACATATAAAAATAAAGCGAGGATTCCTTGTGTTTGTGTGAAATAGACACATATTCGAAGCGACTGGCCACAATTGAGTCCAGTGCTACGCTCGACGGCCACAGCCTGCGGAGTTTTTTATTTCGTGGAGATCCTTTCAATCAAAGCCGTGCAGTCAACCGCAAAGCACTATGGCATCTTCCTAATCACCGGGCATGCGGAACACCACAAAACGCCGATTAAATTACAAAACACAAAACTTTACCAAGATGTTGCCTTTTAAAAGCATGCAACGAGTACCCAAATAGGAAAGGATTTTCGAACCCTGTCAAGGTGGCCAGAAGTGCACGGAATACAACTTCTAGGAACTTAACACTTAACTTGCCCAACATTCACTCAGCACTGCCATGAACTTCCTTTAAAATTCATAGTTTGTTGCTTTTGCCTTCTCCAAGCCCAACACTTTTCACCATGCACACCTTTTTCTGGGATTTGAACTTCCTGTAAAGACGCTTTACACACGTGCCAAATTACAACCGCCATTGCTGACCTTCTCCTGTCTTACCGAGATAGCAAGCCACTGAAGAGGGCTTTGGCGAGCCTCCACAAAAACATACGCTGGGGAGAAGGACACAGTAGAATCTGAAATGGCAACAACCTGCCTTGCTGTGGCAGGGATGGACGCAAGTGATAAAAATAAGAGGGAACAAAAACTGAAGGTTGGTTATGGCAGCGTCCATGCACAGCTGCTGTAAAGCATCTATAGGCCAGGAGCCAGAGTTGCGCGTTAAGCCATCTTGAAATCCTAAGTGATGCGGCAAAGCCGCTTCTCGCATGTGTAGGAGCCGTGCTCTGTCGATTGCGGCCGGGCACGTCACTGAATTCGGCAGATAGAGGCGCCGCGCATGCCGCCGCATTTGGAAAACAGGGAAATAGGAGGCAAAAGCAGGGTAACAAACACTGGCGCACGTGCGCAAAACGTTGGCGAACCGACTTTCGTGCATGGCGCAGGATTCTTTGCTCCTCACACGATTGATCTCGGTGAATAGCGGCGCAGAGGCACATGAAAAACAGACGCGCAACTACGGCTACCCATAAGGGAACTCTATTTGGACCCTACTGAGGACGCCTCTCTGGTGGAGGATCTCAGAATTAGCACGAACCCTAGCAGTTTGGGATCAGCTGTACAACAGCTGCGCTAGACTACGACCGGCTGTAGTCAAGCCACCGCCACTATTCTATGTTTAATAAATAGGTGGAAACAATAAACTTACCGTGACCTGAAGACTGATTCGGTTCCATTTGAAGTGTTGGATGGGGTCAGGCTCCAAAGACACCAGCCAAACGTCGTCTCACAGAAGCCAAGCCATTTCCCACGAGGCTCCCGTAACTGTAATCGTGTTGCACATTTAGTCAGTGGGAGGTTAGTGAGCCCCAATCGGTGTCTGTCGTCTCTACTGTAAATAATAAATTCTGCCAGCAAAGTACGACCGCTAGCCCGGGGTCCTTAACGTGCATCGGGCAGTGGCGACACACGACCGGACGCCGGTACGATGCTCATTAAGATCGAAACTGGCAGGGGCAGGGATTAAACCCTGAATCCCCGAGTTCAGCAGCACGAGCTTTCATCCACGTTATCTGAGCTGCGGCGCAATAACACGTCTGGTCAACGGCCCACCTCCACTCTTCTAACCGAGTTCAGAGCTGAGAATGAGGAATATTTTTTGCCAAGCTGAAGGCAAGCTGCAAACACACAAAGAAGGCAGGCTCAGAACTCGCTGAGAAGTAAAAACATACGTAACCTTCAGAGTAACGTCAGCCACGGTGAGTTTTAACGCAATGTCCGCTGTCAAATTAGGTTAACCAGCTGTCGGATCGTCCCTGCAAATGTTTCGAGAGCTGCTAAACCCTTTCCACGGTGCAAGCATTTAGTTTACAATGGAGTGACATATACTTTGATACTCGTGTGCCCAATATTTACGAGACCTAAACGTTGCTCCTATACTTGGTGCCAACTATTTCGTGCTACATTGTGCAGCCTAGTGTAGCTTCCACAGTGCCGCAGGCATGCACTGTGGAAGCTGCGCGAGGATCAATAACGTAGCTCAACATAAAATACTGTAAACGACAAGATTTTCGAGGGCTCAAATTTTCATGAATCAGGCCAAAGTTGAAAAATTAAAATTATTCGCAGGTTCTAATTTCCGCGAATCCAGACTGACACCAGACCCCCCCCCCCCCCCCCCCCCTTCCGGCCCGGTTGTCTTTCCATCTTTCTAGGATTCTGCGGCTTCAGTCAATCAGTCAAAATCTAGAAAAGGGAAGACGGCGGTAGGTTGTGTGACTAATGGTCCGGAAGTCACTGCCGTTACCTACAGCTTCGAGACGCCGACAAAGGCAGTGTTAGTGTTCACATCGGTTTTCTTCGATGTGAACCTTTCTTGAGTTCACTTTTCGAGGTCACACACTCTGCATGAAAGGACAACCGCCAAGGGCAATGGGGTCAAACCAGTGTGTGTAAATAAGTTAAGGGTCCAAACTAACTGGGTCATGACTAAATGGAACAGCACGGAACATAGGACAGAAGGAACAGGACAACACGAGCGCTGTGTTGTCCTGTTCCTTCTGTCCTATGTTCCGCGCTGTTCCATTTAGTCATGAACCAACTAGCCCATCAAAGCACACTAACTGGGTCACACACCCTTAACCTTTCTTGGGTTCACTTTTCGAGGTCACACACTCTGCATGAAAGGCCAGCGACAAAGGGCAATGGGGCCCAACGATTGTACATAAACCGACCCAAAGTAGGTTTAGGGGCCAATCAAACTTAGCTGCGTACCGTGGTCGTCGACGCCAGCACGCTCTGTGTCAGTGCGGTACGTTTTCTTGTGCCCGTCAATCTGCTGTCCCGCAATGTCCTTACTACGTTACTTCAAGCCAGTGGTCGAGAATGCAGAAGATCATCATATGCCGGGACTGCCTCACCCACAGGTATGCAAGACCACACGTAATAAGCATTCTTTTACGTCGGCCAATCGAAGTGCTAATGCCGCTTTTACCGCCGTGGACTCCCGAAAGCGGAAACGAGGGCCCTACTCTGCTTACAATGACAAACTTAGATGTAAGATTGGAAAATATGCTGCGGAAAATGGGACAATTGCTGCAGTGAGGAAGTTTTCCGATGGAAGAGAAAAGCTTCTCAACGAGAGCACCGTCAGGGGGATGAAGACCTCCTATATCCAAGCCTGCAAGTCCTGTCATTCAAAAGAGCTGGCTACCTTGCCTGGTAAACTTCGACGTGTCAAGCCTGCGCTTGGAAACTTGGATGATGACGTACGGGCGTACATTGTGGAGCTCAGAGAAGGGGGCGGGGTTGTAAACTCCAGGATTTGCATCGCTGCTGCACTGGGCATTGTGCGGGCAACAAAGCCCACACTCTTGCCAGAGTTTGGTGGGACTCTCGTTCTCGACAGACCCTGGGCAAGATCTTTCCTGAACAGGATTGGATTCGTCAAGCATAAGGCCACGAAGACTGTGCAAAATTTTCTAAACGATTTCGAGGGTGCCAAGAAGTTCCTGCAGACTATCGATGAGATAGTCTGCAACCAACTAGCCCAACTTAACATTCTGTTGTGGTCTCAACATCCATTTATTTACCTCAGTCACGTCTATTTTAGCTGAATCGAAAGGGTGTCACAAAGTGGGGTAGGTTATGACTAGAAGGAAGTGCTACCAGTCATGAACAACCAACTAGCCCAACTTAACATTCTGTTGTGGTCTCAACATCCATTTATTTACCTCAGTCACATCTATTTTAGCTGAATCGAAAGGGTGTCACAAAGTGGGGTAGGTTATGACTGGAAGGAAGCGCTACCAGTCATGAACAACCAACTAGTCCAACTTAACATTCTGTTGTGGTCTCAACATCCATTTATTTACCTCAGTCACATCTATTTTAGCTGAATCGAAAGGGTGTCACAAAGTGGGGTAGGTTATGACTGGAAGGAAGCGCTACCAGTCATGAACAACCAACTAGCCCAACTTAACATTCTGTTGTGGTCTCAACATCCATTTATTTACCTCAGTCACATCTATTTTAGCTGAATCGAAAGGGCGTCACAAAGTGTGGTAGGTTATGACTGGAAGGAAGCGCTACCAGTCATGAACAACCAACTAGCCCAACTTAACATTCTGTTGTGGTCTCAACATCCATTTATTTACCTCAGTCACATCTATTTTAGCTGAATCGAAAGGGTGTCACAAAGTGGGGTAGGTTATGACTGGAAGGAAGCGCTACCAGTCATGAACAACCAACTAGCCCAACTTAACATTCTGTTGTGGTCTCAACATCCATTTATTTACCTCAGTCACATCTATTTTAGCTGAATCGAAAGGGTGTCAAAACGTGGAGTAGGTTATGACTGGAAGGAAGCGCTACCAGTCATGAGCAACCAACTAGCCCAACTTAACATTCTGTTGTGGTCTCAACATCCATTTATTTACCTCAGTCACATTTATTTTAGCTGAATCGAAAGGGCGTCACAAAGTGTGGTAGGTTATGACTGGAAGGAAGCGCTACCAGTCATGAACAACCAACTAGCCCAACTTAACATTCTGTTGTGGTCTCAACATCCATTTATTTACCTCAGTCACGTCTATTTTAGCTGAATCGAAAGGGTGTCACAAAGTGGGGTAGATTATGACTAGAAGGAAGCGCTACCAGTCATGAACAACCAACTAGCCCTACTTAACATTCTGTTGTGGTCTCAACATCCATTTATTTACCTCAGTCACATCTATTTTAGCTGAATCGAAAGGGTGTCAAAACGTGGAGTAGGTTATGACTGGAAGGAAGCGCTACCAGTCATGAACAACCAACTAGCCCAACTTAACATTCTGTTGTGGTCTCAACATCCATTTATTTACCTCAGTCACATCTATTTTAGCTGAATCGAAAGGGCGTCACAAAGTGTGGTAGGTTATGACTGGAAGGAAGCGCTATCAGTCATGAACAACCAACTAGCCCAACTTAACATTCTGTTGTGGTCTCAACATCCATTTATTTACCTCAGTCACATCTATTTTAGCTGAATCGAAAGGGTGTCACAAAGTGGGGTAGGTTATGACTGGACGGAAGCGCTACCAGTCATGAACAACCAACTAGCCCAACTTAACATTCTGTTGTGGTCTCAACATCCATTTATTTACCTCAGTCACATCTATTTTAGCTGAACCGAAAGGGTGTCACAACGTGGGGTAGGTTACGACTGGAAGGAAGCGCTACCAGTCATGAACAACCAACTAGCCCAACTTAACATTCTGTTGTGGTCTCAACATCCATTTATTTACCTCAGTCACATCTATTTTAGCTGAATCGAAAGGGCGTCACAAAGAGTGGTAGGTTATGACTGGAAGGAAGCGCTACCAGTCATGAACAACCAACTAGCCCTACTTAACATTCTGTTGTGGTCTCAACATCCATTTATTTACCTCAGTCACATCTATTTTAGCTGAATTGAAAGGGTGTCACAAAGTGGGGTAGGTTATGACTGGAAGGAAGCGCTACCAGTCATGAACAACCAACTAGCCCAACTTAACATTCTGTTGTGGTCTCAACATCCATTTATTTACCTCAGTCACGTCTATTTTAGCTGAATCGAAAGGGTGTCACAAAGTGGGGTAGGTTATGACTGGAAGGAAGTGCTACCAGTCATGAACAACCAACTAGCCCAACTTAACGTTCTGTTGTGGTCTCAACATCCATTTATTTACCTCAGTCACATCTATTTTAGCTGAATCGAAAGGGTGTCACAACGTGGGGTAGGTTATGACTGGAAGGAAGCGCTACCAGTCATGAACAACCAACTAGCCCAACTTAACATTCTGTTGTGGTCTCAACATCCATTTATTTACCTCAGTCACATCTATTTTAGCTGAATCGAAAGGGCGTCACAAAGTGAGGTAGGTTATGACTGGAAGGAAGCGCTACCAGTCATGAACAACCAACTAGCCCAACTTAACATTCTGTTGTGGTCTCAACATCCATTTATTTACCTCAGTCACATCTATTTTAGCTGAATCGAAAGGGTGTCACAAAGTGGGGTAGGTTATGACTGGAAGGAAGCGCTACCAGTCATGAACAACCAACTAGCCCAACTTAACATTCTGTTGTGGTCTCAACATCCATTTATTTACCTCAGTCACATCTATTTTAGCTGAATCGAAAGGGTGTCACAACGTGGGGTAGGTTATGACTGGAAGGAAGCGCTACCAGTCATGAACAACCAACTAGCCCAACTTAACATTCTGTTGTTGTCTCAACATCCATTTATTTACCTCAGTCACATCTATTTTAGCTGAATCGAAAGGGTGTCACAAAGTGGGGTAGGT